CTGGGAGAAGGAGGGAATGCTTTCCTTGGTTAGGATTCCCAGAAATGACCGAAAATGAAACTGGGTATGTACAGGAAGAGAATAGCCTTTTTAGGTTTTTTTTTGTTTGTTTGTTTGTTTCTGTTTTGTTTTTCTTTTTTTTAATATTTGAAAACAGGACAAATTAACTAAGGTTTAACCTGTCTTGGGTTTATAGACACTACATATTAGTTGCTCTCAGTGGTTTTCCTGGTTATCTCAGGTTTGCAGAAGCACAGCCCAGACATTTATAGATCTTGGTATCTGCTTGTTGGAAGTTTGCTTCCCGTGTGTTTAGCCGCCCTGTTTTTGCACAGTCCTGACAAAAGAGGGAGATCTGTGAATTGAGAAAAGTTGTTAAACCCGTCAGTACATCTTCAGTCATGAAACTAGTGTCTAAATTGAAATGCATCCTTGGTAGCAAGAGAATAGCTTTAGGTGTATGCAGAACTTGAAGAAGTGTGAGGGAAGGGGGATGTTTTTAGCAGTTCAGCCTCGCTACCCCTCTGGGTGGAGAAAGCATGTTTCCTGACGATGCTTGGAGTTGCAAGTTCCTCTTCCCTTTGACTCGCCCTGGAAGAGGTTTTACACACTAGACCCACAAGCTGTAAGCAGTTCTCTGCGGTCCCGTCCCGCGGCTGTGCCTCGCAAGCAAAACCTTGCAGCGAGCGTGCCGGCTGCAGGCTCGGTGGTGACAGCTGAATTTTGTTCCGTGATACTTTGAATGGTGGAGAACTGTTGTGAGACCTGCCAAAGCTGTAAGTTTCCCATATAAATGGACACCCTTTGAGCTAGCAGAATTTAGTTTAAAAGCCAGTTTCGTAGAAATTCAGTATTATATGTTACTTGTCTTCCAGTCCCCTTCTAGCACAGAGACTTCCTTATCCCAGAGCTGGTGGACAGGCTGTCCTTGTACAGCATGCGGAGAGTGAAGTGTTTATGGATTAGCACAAGCCGTTACACTTCAGTGTAGTGCTTTGTCTCTGGTCCACGGGGTCTAATCAGGAGGTGGAGGCTGAGCTGTCTCCTCCTTTCCAGGTTTTACTGCCTCGAACAGTTGCAGCTGGTTCCCTGCCAAATTCTGTTGTCTTTTGGAGAAGAAGCGAGGAAGCCTCCTGAGCTGCCAGTTTTGTCTTTTTTAGTATATTGGTGACACCGAGGCCTGAGGTTTCGTGAGGGCTGTGTAGGTGCTAATGCTGCGTGTGGCCGGGGAAGGTCAGTGGAAGGGCAGGAAGGGCTGGGGATGCGGAGCTGTGCCGGGGCAAAAGGGCTGCAGGCTGAGGACCTCAGGCAGGGAGCAGGTGAAGTGTGCGTGCTCGGGGGGAGCGAGGGATGTGCAGGTACCTCCAGCCCCATTCCTGGGGGAGCGGGGGGGCGGGTAGGCAGCTGCCGTGAGGATGTACGAACAGTCCGTGCTTTTGTAATCTTCCCAGTGTATGTGTCAGATGGGGGAAACAGTCTGGATGTTCACTCCCTTGTCCTTCTCAGTGCAATCCTGCACTTGGCGTGTTCGTGGCCCTCGTGGTCAAGTGGCTGGCTGGCATCCCAGACACAGATGCTGCGCTGGCGTGTCCTGGCTGGTCCAGAGGATGCCAAGAGCTGTGAGTACACCTGAATGTGATCCTCCCTATCCCAGCACTGACAGGCTCCCTCTGTCCTTGGAAGGTGCAGAGAATTCTGTAATTCAGGGGAAAAGACATGGTTAAGCTGGGCTGATCATTGCCTGGGTAGCATCTCTTACAGTGCAGGGGGAACCCTATGGCTGCAAACAGTCACCTTGCATGGGAAGAAGGTGCCAGCAACCCCTGTGATTCTGAGGGTGGTGGTAAGGAAGACAGATGATGAGTGTTTCATGTCCACGCATCCACCTTAGTGCATGTACTACCAAGGTCTGTATAGGAATCAAGTTGTAGCTGTGGGGATTTACAGAGTCGCAACCATCCTGGCTGAAGCGTTGGGTAGGGATGTGGCTCCCCTCAGCAGCATCCATGCAGCTCAAGAACTGAGAAAATACAAACCCCTGGTTGAAGTTGTTGATTTCACTGTTTGGAGGAAGAGGCTTTGGGCCCTGAGTCACCTTTTTGTCCATGCTCACTCCAAACTGACCAGCGGGAATTGAGGAGTGTAACAATTGCAGTCTTGAACATGGGCTTATGCTCCTGGAAGCTCATAGTAGAGTGGTGAAGCCTCCAGCTCACAGCAAAGGTTGTCACCAGTGCTCTTCCACGTAGAAAAGCTTTGTGCCTGCCGCTCCTTATCTCACACAGTCCTGCCAATCTTAAGGCCAGAACTTCTAGCTGACTCCACGACTCAGCAAACACTCACAGGAAAACATTGTGCGTTTTGGTTCTTAGAGAATAAAGGAGCTCCAGAGGCTCTCGAGATGTCCTCCCTGTTGCAGCCACAGGAATAAGCTGCCTGTTCCTTCCCCCAGAAGTACCTGCTGTTGCATGTTACCAGAGCTTGGAACAGGGAGGTGGGTCAGGCAGCACGGTGATGTCCCTGGGACTCCGTGGGAGTGGGCCTGAGAGCTGTTGCAGTGGAAGAGGGGACAGTGATAGACCGTAGGGATGGTGGCATGGGCCATCTGCATTGGATGGGTGAAAGTTCCAAGTAGGACTTCCAGCTGAGAAAGGACAGGCTCCTTGGAATAGCTTTGAGACCAGTCCATCTCAGGGATTGCTTAGTTGGAGAATGGGGGACAGCTAATCTGAGCCCCCACATGTGAGGAATCTGAGCCCCAACCAACGTACTGAACTGCTCCCGTTGTACCAGAGTAGGTGTTGATGGAGAGACAGCTCATCGCTCCCTGGAAATTAATTTTTTCATGGGGTTTCCTGACTGGGTTTGTGCGTTGTCATCTCTCTGCTTGACCATCACCGGTTGCCCTTTGGGGGTGTTGGTTCTCCATTTGCCCTTTTTGGGGGTGTTGGTTCTCCATTTGCCCTTTTTGGGGGTGTTGGTTCTCCATTTGCCCTTTTTGGGGGTGTTGGTTCTCCATTTGCCCTTTGGGGGTGTTGGTTCTCCATTTGCCCTTGGGGGGTGTTGGTTCTCCATTTGCCCTTGGGGGATGCTCTCAGCTGCAGATGAGGCAGCATGAGCTCTACAGTTGCCCAGAAATGGGGGGCTCGTCAAGTTTTGGGAACAGTGGTTGTTTAATACTACTGCTTTCATAGCTCAGCACCTGGAATGGACTGATTTCAGTAGCGTTCTTCCAAGGGCATGCTGAATGTACTCTGATAGCTCTTTTGTGAAGAAATGTATAAAAATAGCCTGTGTTGGCACTGTAAGCCAAGGCTAAAGACGAGTGGTCCCATGACAATGGGAGCAGATGACAATAGCATGAACCTCTGGAAACCAAAAGCTTTTAGTGATACAAGAGAAATCTTGTTTACAAAAAGAAAAGGGCTCACTGGCATGAGGGAAAGTGAAGTAGAAATTTTACAGGCAATCAGTTTTTGAGGTTAAAAGTGGCCTTGATGTTACTGTGGGGGTTCTTAGGCACTAGAGTAACACAAATAATCAAGAGCACTTCTTCCACTGTGCTTTTCTGCAGGCACTACATTAACTGATGTTAATTAGTGTGGTCTTAACTACCGCGAAGTGTGTGTAACCCTTGAGCAGGGAGCAGTGGAATTGTTACCGGGTAGAACATTTCTGGGGCACGGGGGGGACAATCTTTAAAAAGGGCAGAAGATTGTTCTGGAGGCACGGATGGGCCTCTGACCACTGCGGGGTGCGGAGCCTGTGCTGTGCCTCCGCTCCCCGCGCAAACTCTGCGCCCATGGGGAGTGGGGAGCGGATTCTCCCCATCCTTGTCCCCACGGCGCCAGGGGTTCACTTTCCTCCGGAACACCTTGGCTCCGGTAGAGCAGAGCTGGCAGCGTTATTCTGCCGCCCTTGTTCTGGGTGTTCATGGCACTGGAGGGACCGGGGCTGCGGGTGTGCAGAGAAGTGCAAGAGCAGGTCAGGAACCTCAGTTCTCACGTGGATGTGGGGGGAAAAAAAAGTAAGAGAGGGGGACAGGAGGAAAGTGAGGAGGAAAACCAGGACTTGCCATTGCGTGCGGCATCTGAGAGCTGCACTGAAGGGGAAGGGGACAGTCCAGCCGAGCTGCCCTTGGGCATCAGCCCCGAGCCGGGGCCCAGCAGCCCGGCGATGGCTCCGTCCCCCCGAGGTGCTGGGCTGCAACGCCACAGACCCATCCCGCTCCTTGCCAGCACCAGCCTGCTGGCCTGCTCCGGGCCCTTTCCTGCTGGTTTATGTTATCTCCCTGATAAAAATAAAGCTGCTCCTGAATGGATTATTTATCTTGTAAACACAGGCTTGTGGAGCAGCGTGCTGCAGAAGTGGTTTTGCAGGGGCCGGGGCGGCCGTTTGCAGAGCCTGAAGCGTCCACGGAGCTGTTTGCAGGTTTGAGGCTCGTTTAACAGCAGCCTGTGGTGGAGCACCTTTCTTCTCTGAAACTCCTTCACTTTAAACACCCAAAGGGCCTAATCCGGACCTCAAGGCCCCATGGACCACTTTGGTTTCTGGGCTGTCTGTTGCTTAATCCACAAACTGGGATTTCAACACACTCTGCGGAGGGATGCGTCCAGGTGTGGGAAACAAAACAGTCTGATGCAAAAGAGTAAATAATTTCCTTTCACGACTCGAGTACCCGCGCGGTAAAGCCAGGAGCCTGCTGCAGTGGGGCGGGTGTGGAGGTGCGCCCTCCCAGATGCAGTGGGGCTGGGATCACCCTCGGGGGGGGCACCCCACGGCCTGCGAAGGGGGAAGGTTGTTGGGGGGGGGGGAATACGACTGAGGGGGGAGAGAGGCGGGTGGTCGGCGGCGTGGGGTCCTCTGGGCGGTACATTCGGGGGAGGCGGCGGTACAGCCCCCCCCCCCCCCCCCCCCCGCCGTGGGGCGGTACAGCCCGCGGGGCGCTGCCGGCGAAGCCTTTAAAACCGGCGGCCGCCCGCCCGCGCCGGGCGCTGCCGAGCGAAGCCGAGCGGAGCCGAGCGGAGCCGAGCCCGCCGGCCGCCCCTCCCATGCGCCTGCCGAGCATGTCCCAGCCGTTCCTGCTGGCGCCCATCGCCGAGTGCGCCCCGGGGCCGCCCGGCTCCCAGCTCCGCCTGGCAGTGCTGGGCGCCCGCGGCGTCGGTAAGAGCGGTAAGTTTGGGGGGGGGTCTGTGTGTGTGTGTGTCTATCTGTCCGTCCGTCCCGCCTAACGCGGCCGCTCTGTGTTGCAGCGATGATCGTGCGGTTCTTGACGAAGCGGTTCATCGGGGACTACGAGCCCAACACAGGTGAGGCGGTCGGGCACACCCCCCCTCTTCCCCACCCCACCCCCACCCCCCCCCCCCCCGGCCGCGGGATGTCCCTGACCTCCCTCTGCTCCCCAGGCAACCTCTACTCCAGGCTGGTCCGTCTGGAGGGGGACCACGTTGCCGTGCAGATCCAGGACACCCCGGGGTGCATCCAGGTACGGATAGATCGGTTCTTCTCTGCCACCTAAAGGCTCAGCTTTTGAGCCCCGGCCAGGCTTAGTCTCCTAAAACAGAGCTCGGGCTTCCCTTTGGCCCTGTTTAACGGTCCTGTCTGTGATACAGGCTGGATGCTTTAACAACCCGATGCCAAATTCGCGCTCTCTGTCGTACCGCAGGTGCAGGAAGACTGCGTGCAGGTGCTGGACTCCCTGTCCAGGTGTGTGAAGTGGGCAGAGGGCTTCCTCGTGGTCTACTCCATCACAGACTACGGCAGCTACCAGTCAGTCCGACCTCTCTACCAGCACATACGCAAGGTCCACCCAGATGCCCGGACTCCCATCATTATCGTGGGGAACAAAGCAGACCTCCTCCACGCCAGGCAAGTACAGGCGAAAGAGGGACTACAGCTGGCAAATGAACTGGGCAGCCTGTTCTTGGAGATCTCCACGAGCGACGACTCCCAGGGCGTCTGTGATGTTTTCCAGTATCTTTGCAAGGAGGTCAGCAAACTACAGCACGCCAGCAGCACGGACAGGAGGCGGTCGTCCATCATCCCTCGGCCCAAATCTCCCAACATGCAAGATCTAAAGAGACGTTTCAAACAGGCTTTATCTTCCAAAGTCAAATAAAGCCCCTGACGAGATCTTGTGTGACTCAACAGACTTTATTTTTGTAAACTAGTTAATAAAAATCTTTATTTTTGTACTAATGCCAGCAGTATGGAAGTAAGTATGTCGAAGCTTGCAATTTCCTTGCCATTCTCTCTTGTTTGACTGGTTGGGTTATTTTTTACAAAAAAAAAAAAAAAAAAAAATGCTGCATAGCAACTAAGTAGAGGTAGTCGGAGAAAGAGATTTTTGCCAGCAGGTTTTGATTCTGTTTCTGGTTTGGGCTGGGATTTGCTGTTTTACAAATTACTTCTTTGAGGGCCTCAGTTTCCTGTTTGTAAAATGGGAGTGATGATGATGTAACACTTACCTGCCTTTATGAAATGCTTAGAAAGCCTTTGAAGGAAAGCTTTATATGGATTAAAAAAAAAAAAATCTTTATTAAACATGAACATATAAAACTGTCTGTAAGCATTCTGATTATAACAGGATCTCTCTTCTCCCTCAACAACTGCTGTTCTGCTTGCACCTGTAATCACCTGAATGATGATAAGCTGTTGGGAATGAGTTCCAATTTCTGATGTGCTTGAGAGATCTATCCCACAGAATTAATCTTTTGAGCCCCAAGCATTTAACAGGAGAGTTGAGTTTCTCGTACAGATTACCATGGGACAAAGTGCTGAGCAATCCGCAGCAGAGGAGTGTGTGGGATGGCTGTTGCTTTCTCTGGAGATGTGTGATAGGAAGGACTGATGCGTAGGTTCCCTTAACAGAAAATAGCTATATTTAAAAGGAATTGCATCTGTATCTTCCCCAGGCCAATTTTGTAGCCATTGGAAACAGGTCAGACTTTTTACTCTTATTTCACATTAGCTCTAAACCATACTAGAATGGTTTTTATTAACTGTTTGCTGAATGTCTGAGCATGGAACGTGGGTTTTGCACTTCAAATATGCCTCTGAAGTATGTGCATGGTATCGGTAAGAAATAAATCTCTGCTCCAAGCTGAGTAGAAAGTATGGAAATGGAGTAATATACAGGGGGGAAACTGGCTGTCCCCATTCAAGCACAACTCCACCAAGTTTTTTGTTTTAGTTGTGGGTTTTTTTTTTTTTTTTTAATCTCATAAATTAAGCCCAAAGACCATTTTCTTGTTTCCTTTTGTTAGGAAAGGCAGGTAGCTGCTGAATAAGTCCCTGCGCTGCAGGGATGCTGCTGTGCCTTGCAGTTAGCGGGCAGTCTCTGCTGTTTCTGGCCCCTGGGACTTGAAGCTTTCGGGGACACCTCCCCCCTTGATCTGCAGATGAAATTCTTCCTGATGGCGGTAATCGCGGGGAGGGTGACTGAGCGAGTCCGGGGTGATGCTCTGTGAGGAAGCACCAGAGGCCCGTGTTAGCGCTGGGGAGGGGCGCGGGGTGCCAGCAGCCCTCTTCCCCATCCAGGGCCACGTGCACCACACCAGTCCAGGCACGTTCCCTGCGTGTCTCCTCCCTGAAGGCCCTGTGCTGCCCAACCAGAGGGAACGGGAGAACTGAAGGGGGGCAGCTCCAGACCTGCGGCAACAGACCGAAACCGGGGCCGCAAACTGAATCCAAAACCCTTGAGTTAATTCATGGAAGTGCAAAAGCATGGTGCCAGCCCGGACAAATCAAAGTACGGTTTAAACCACGTTTTAAATATTTTTTTTGCTGTGGGAGTTGCTCTGCCAGGCCCAGGACTCTGAGGGGAGCGGGAGGATGGTGTTGGTGAGAACGAGCACATCCCCAGCAGACTCAAACTCACCACACGGGCCACGTGTTCACGGGAAAATTTGAAGGGGAGTTGAGAAATCACAAGTGGGATATTTATGCGGCATTTCACTGTCCTGAAATCAGGGATAACAAATTGTTTCCAAGAGAAATTACTACGGTGATATGGTTTTGGTTGGTTTTTAAACCGTAGTTTTTGTCTTTGGAAATGATGATTCTTGATTTCCTACTCGTGTATCCAGTGCAGAGTTTCACCAATCAAGTTGCTAATGGTATCCAGCTCATACATGAGCAGAAAATGTGCTAAAAAGTCAGGTAACGTGTACTGACTGGACCTGTCTCCATCTCACCATGGTCCTCAAAGGCCGGGTGAAAAAGAGTGTTGGGCACCGACCTCCCGTCACCCCAGGTGAAGCAGGAGCTCAGGGCCCTGCTGTGGTCCGGGGGGAGATTTTGGGCAGGAGCCAGTGGGCACATGATGGGGAGGGATAGGCAGGAGCAGGAGGGTACGTACAGCCATTTGCCCCATCTCTGCTATGGGGAGAACATAAAGAGATGCCCCCCTTGCTACGTAGGCACTTTCAGGTGGAGGCACAAACCCTCCCGTCCCCTCCCCGCGCTTCCCATGCTGTTGGGCTGGTTCGGCCGTGTGTCGGGAGCAGGATGAGGCCCCTCAGGGATGTCATGGGGAACCTCCCTGGCTAAAGCATGCCCATGACAGGGAGGGAGGGCTGCTCTGACCTGCCTCCAGTCTAAGGCAGCAGCTGAACTGGGGCATTGTGGATAATGCTTTTGGGTACAGGTACCTAAATTAGGCATTTAAGCTGTTTGTCAGCATTTGCCCCGGCTGGCACAGATTTACCTTCACCCAGAAGTTTTTGGCCCATGCAACCCTGAGCTGGCTCCGAGTTCATTTTGCCCTGGTATTTTCTTCAGTCCTGGGAGAGTGGACAGAGTGGCAGACCGGGGCAGGGAAGGAAAAACATCTCTTAAGTGCTAGCAGAGTAGCTCCAAAACCTTGTTTCTCTTGGGCCATGGCAACTCATGCTCTCCCTTCCTACCAAATACTTGCCATCACCAGTCTCTAAGCCCTTCCCTCAGAGGCCAGGATGGCTTCAGGAGAGTAAGTGTGGCACGGCCTGGCCTTTCTCCTTGATCACAGGAAAATATGCATCTGCCTCCTTCCTCCCACCACCTCCGCTATAAAACAGAATCACAGCAATTTCCCCTGACAAGACAGATGAGTGGGTTTTCAGAAGGAGGGACGTGTGTGGCATCACGCACTATTATGGCTGCTACTACATCAGCATCTCCCCGCTGTTGGGCTATTTTGTCTAGTTATCTCCCAGCACTGAAATCATGCAGTAATGCTTTAAGATTTCATGAATTTTTAAATAGCTGCTGCCATCAATCTGTTCCATTGTGCTTCAGTTCAGGAGCCGCAGATCCCTAAACAGAGATAGGGATGTTTTCTTCAAAAGGCTTTACGGATGTCCCCTCGTTTTCTGCCCTGCTCGAGCAGCCTGGACCCAGGCTGCTTCCTCACTGCCTCTTGGCAGGGACTTGCCTATCAGCACACACAATGGTCAGTGCCACAGGTCCATGCTGTATTTCGGGTGTTTGTTTGGATGAAGAACCATGGACAAGACAGTCCGTGGACAAGAAGGACTGTGTTCCCACCATGGGCAAGAGCTGGATTCCAGCTTCAGACAGGGACCAAAAGTGGTTGAGGCTTGGATGGACAGATGACTAGAAACAAGTCTGCATCCCATGCCTGGACCTCCTATAAAACAATTTTACTACTGGGGAACTTCAATAGCTTTTGGTGAAGCTGCTGTTTATTTAGGGAGGTCTGAACAGGTTCAGAATAAAGCCCTTTAGGGGAAGTTGGCCTTTTGCAGCAGCTGTTGCACTTGGCATCTGACCGCTGGTGATTCACACCAGTAAAACAGCAGGATCTCTTCAGTTGCTCCTAAAGCCAGGATCCAAAGGCAGCTGTCCTTCTAGGAGCAATACCTCCAGGGGTGCTGCTGTTGCTGCATCACTGCACCGAGGTATGTGCAATTCTCCAAAGAGTTGTCTTCCCGAGGTACCTTCAGAATCATGTCCCTGAAAAGCTTTTTATGAGTTAGAGCATGGCTCACAAAACAGCAGCTCAGCTTGGATTTGGGGTAATTAGTGACAATTCAGACTTCCAGAAAAACCCACTGATTCTCAGACTTACTCTTCCACCGCTCTTGTGTTTCCACCTATCTAAAACGAAGGCAGCAATGCCTTTATATTGAAAATGGTTTTGAGGTAATTGGTTTGTGAAGTTTTCTTACTACATTTATTGATTGATGTTCTTGACTGAAAGAAGTATAAATACAAGTTGTGACTTGTTATATCAGTGTATATTATGGAGCATAACCAGGTAAACACTATCTTCCCATACTACAAAAAAGAAAAATTAGGGTATAGAAATTGAGCAACCACTTCACTGGCCTATGATACTTGATTTGCAACTGAAAAGCTATGTAGTAAAGTTTGCATAATGATTATAGACCTCCACAGATGTCACAGCTGCCTTTTTAAAAATGCACTTGGTTGTTTGCTATCCATGTTTTCTTTTCTGAAAACCATCCATAGGAGAAATCCTCACACAGAGGCCCTCAAGGTGTGAGCTGCTGTGTAAAGGTGGCTGCTTTATCCCCACACCTCAACCTTTGGGCTTTGCTGGGTAGCTGCTTGGACAAAGGCATCTCCCTATGTACCCGGGCTTGTGGGGGTCACAGTTCAGCAAACTGTATTTTGCTCTTGATCTGTGCACAATACTGCTCTTAAAATGTATCTGTCCAGGAAATTGTGCAAGTTTATTTGTCAACTTGCATTACTGGGAAGCAGTAATTAATTCTTATAGCTGGAATATTTATCTTCTAAGGTATTTGGCTCTTTCCCCATTACTAAAAACATCCTCTTCTCAGGTTTCAAATGGTCCTTGTAAACATTTAATAGTAATTTCCTCCCTTGAGATGGTAAGCCAATATCAGCAAATATTGTTTCTGGGAGCAGCTCTGAGGGAACTAAACTCTCCCCCAGCTGGGGCACTGAGGTGAATTACAAACTCCGGTCCTGCAGCTGATACTTCCTTCCCCTCCTGCAAACAAATCCCAGCACAGGCAAAGCAATGAGCCTGTTGTCTGGGGCTCACAGCCCTGAACCCTTCCAGGAGCCTTTAAGAACACGGTTTGATCTGAACCGTGCTCAGCAAGCAGATTTCCCACTGACACCATTTCTTTTGATATCAA